CTGATTTTGCCAAAGTTCGATGACTAGTGTTTGGGAATATAGAGCGTTTACAGTTTTCTGCAAATTCTATGAATTCTTCTTTCAATGTTCTTACTCATTTATTACCAGTTAGCTACAAAATCCCTTTATTTATTTACTTCCCCAAATACTTCTATCAATTACCATGTTTCCAATTGCATTTTTTTTTTTAGAATTTGTGCACCAGAACAAGTTGTCTATTAATGATAATTTATTCACACAGTTGTGTTGTTTTTCAATCCACTTGAGGCATTCGTCCAAATTTTTTTTTACTAGAGTGGCCCCATTTTTTTTATCTTCCATATATATATCATTCAATTAAACCAAACATCTTCAATTTGTAACACAGACTACTGCTTGTGCAAACCCTTTCTTGATCCTTTGCTATTACTTTCCCATCACTAACAAAATAATGGCAGAATCTATTGTCTTCGGTATTGCTGAGAATATTGTGACAGATTTAGGTTCTCGTGCTATCCAAGAGATTGGATCTGCTGTGGGTGTCAAGAAGGAGCTAAAAAAACTTGAGAGGACTGTAATCACCATTAGAGATGTTCTTCTACATGCTGAGGAATTACAACTGGTCAGTCCTGAAGTGAGAACATGGCTTAGAAGGATCAAAGATGTAGCTTATGAGGCAGATGACGTTATTGATGACTTCACCATTGAAGCTTTGAAGAAGAAATGGCTGATACAAGGCAATATCATTAAATTGGTACGCAACTTTTTCACACCTTCAAATCCTATTATATTTCGTTTTAAAATGGCTCGTAGAATTAAGAATATCAGGGAAAGTTTGATCGAGATTCGAGAAGACAAGTCATTCCACCTAGAAACAAGAGTTGATGTTATGAGTAGACTTCCTAACTCAGCAAGGGAAAATATTCATTCCTACGTAGATGAATCAGAAGTGTTTGGAAGAGATAAGGTCAAAGAAGAGATTGTAGAATCATTATTGCAGTTTGATGGGGAAGAAAAGCTTTCCATTGTTTCAATCCAAGGTATCGGCGGTCTTGGCAAAACCACACTGGCTAAGTTAGTGTATAACGACGAGAGAGTTGTATCAAACTTTGATCTTGTAATGTGGGTGTGTGTCTCTGAAGATTTCGATGTTAAAAAGATCATAGAAAAAACTATAAAATCTGTTACAAACGATTCATGTCCTAATCTGGAGATGGACCAATTACAACATCGTCTTCGGAAAAGTCTTGCAGGGAAGAAATTTTTACTTGTTTTAGACGATGTGTGGAACGAAGATGTCAACAAGTGGGATGAACTGAAAGATCTGCTCCTAGGAGGTGCAAAGGGAAGCAAATTGATGGTAACTACTCGAAGTGCAAAAGTCGCAAGAATAATCAGATCTGCTTCACCATATAACTTGTCAGGATTGTCAGATGATCATAGTTGGAACTTGTTCAAGTCTAAGGCGTTTAATAAGGGACAAGAAAAAAAAAATCCAAACCTCGTCAAAATTGGGAGAGAAATTGTTGAAAAATGTGGAGGAGTCCCTCTGGCTATTAAATCTGTTGGAGGCTTAATGTATTCCAAAACTTTGGAACATGAATGGGTGCAAGTAAACAATAGTGATGTTTGGAAAGAAAATGACATCTTACCTTCGTTAAGGTTAAATTACAATAATTTGTCATCGTCTTTGAAACAATGTTTCGCATACATCTCAGTATTTCCAAAGGGTTATCTTCCTGATAAAGAAGTTATGGTCCAGGATTGGATTGCACTAGGATTCATTCGTTGTAATGGAGAAAACCAATGCATAGAAGATATTGGGTTTGAGTATGTTGAAACTCTGACGTGGATATCCTTCTTGCAGGAAGATATTAAGGGTGAGTATGGCAGGATGACAATCCATGACCTTGTTTATGACCTTGCACAATCGATTGCTGGAGAGGAATGCTTTCTTGTTCAAGAAGAAACAAAAAAGCACATTCCTACAAGAGTAAGACATTTGTATGTACGTGATGAATCTTTTGCTCCACAGTCTCTAGTAGAAGTTTTCCCCAAAAAATCCAATTTACATACACTGTACCTATTATCACCATGCCACGTCATGTCAGTTGTTGAGAATATATACTCAAGCTTTAGGTTCTTACGTGTGTTAGCACTCAAGCTAGTTTCCAATACTGAAAACTTACCAACTTCCATTGGTGACTTGAGGTATCTAAGGGTACTTCAGATCTTTTCCAATTTAGATATCACTGTCACACTCCCCAAGTCTATAATAAAGCTGCTACGGTTACAAAGCTTACGATTGTATGGTCCTTGTACTTTAAAGAATTTGCCTAAAGACATACATCTTATGTCTGAACTAAGACATATTGTTTTTCGGGGCCAAGCTTCTGCCTCATATTTGCACATGCCATCTGGACTTGGTCAGTTAACTTCTTTTCAGACATTGTCAGTGTTCGTTGTTGGAAAGGAGATAGGATGCAAGCTAAATGATTTGAATGGACTGAATTGTCTAAGAGGCAAGCTTGCGATTCATAATCTTGAAAATGTGAAGAGTGTTGAAGACAGTGTGGACGTAAACTTAAAAGAAAAGTCAAACCTCAAAGAATTGAAACTTGTCTGGAAAGACCAAGAAGCAGAAGTGGGTAGAGAAAAACATCATGTTGATGTGCTAAAGACTCTCCAACCACATCAACATCTCAAACGTTTGTTTATACATGGCTATAAAGGCGAACGCTTTCCTGGATGGTTAATGGCAGACCTGCCACTACTCACAAATTTGGTGATGGAGGAAATGCATGATCTTCGCTTCATTGATGTTAAACGAAATAACATGGTGAGAGGAGGTAGTCATCATCAACATTTCCCATCATTAAAAAAGCTCAAACTTTCGAATTTTCACAATTTGGAGTCATGGGGGACAACAAAAGAAGAGAGTTTAGCGGTTGTTTTACCTTGCCTCCTCAATTTGACCATCTCTGACTGCCCCAAACTAACATTCATGCCTTTGCTTCCATCTCTGAAGAAGTGTGTGCTGGACAAGTGCAGTGAAAAGCTTGTACACTCATTGATGTTACAGCAGCAACAACAACAATTGATATCTTTCTCACCCAGTACCAGTAGTTCTTCTGGCCCAACAACAACAACTAGTACTCTAAAATATCTGAATATTGAGGCATGCGACGATTTGATTTGTTTATCGGATCAAGTCTTCCAAGGATTAACTGGCCTTTTGGAGCTGGAGATAACAAATTGTGTAAGCTTGACTACTTTGTCTGGTCTGAAGCACCTCACATCACTTCAAACATTGAGTCTTACCAACTGTGCAGAATTGCATATGTTGGAAGGCTTGGATGGCCTTACTTCTCTTCAAACATTGTATATTCAAGAAATCCCTAAATTGGAATCCTTACTTGAGGGGCTAAATTGGAATCCTTACCTTATGGATTGTAAGGGTTTGGTGGGTTTGCCGGAGTGTCTGGAAAATCTCACAAAATTGTGGATCCTAGGATGTTGGAATTTGATGACTTGGCCAATTGGGTTGTTGAGAAACAACAGGATGTCACTTGTGCAACTTGCCCTTTCTGGTGGTTTTTGGCTGCGGTCTCTTCCCGAAGAATTGCAACACCTTACTTGCTTGCAGTATCTTTACATATCATTCTTCGAGGATTTGACGAGTCTACCAGAATGGCTTGGAAAACTTACTTCTCTTCAATATCTCGGAATTGTGGGATGCCCTAATTTGGGGTGTTTGCCAAGATGGATGTTGTGTCTCACTTCCCTACAAGAACTGGATATATATGGGTGTGATAAATTGTCGCCTCGATGCAAGAAAAATATAGGCGAGGATTGGCCTTACATATCTCGCATCCCCCGAATCGAAGTTGATAAAGTACGAATAAAGTAGATAAAGTTTGAGGATTGGCCTTTCAGGTATGAACATATGTACTTATGGATTTTTTCTATCTTTGGCTATGCCTATGCACCATCTCTGAGTTAGTCACAAATTTACTAATGTCAGTTACAAATTTGCTACTCTGAGTAATCAGCATTAGGATTCAATCATTTGAAGCTTGAAACAGGAGCTGAAAGGAATTTGATCAAGCGACCAAATGGTAATCCCATTTAATTTTATGTTTTGGTTTTTATTTTAAGGTTTATGGTTTATTTGATGAGTGAGGAAAAGTAAATCGAATGGCTCTCCTTTCAGCTGCAAGTGTAGATCTATATTATATATAGATCAATATGTTGATAGCTTTGTTCTAGAGGCAAATAATAATTTCCAATGTTTAACGCAACTTTGAACTCAGATCTGAAACATTATAAGAACAGATTTACTTTTTAAGAACGGGTCTCTAGTAGACTATAGGGAAAACAAATTCATTGTTTTTGGGGTGAACCTATGGATTTTTTTATAAGCACCAATGGGTTCAGATAATGTTGAAACATTATAATGCTTTTTCTTTATTTTTTATTTTTTATGAATATTATGTCTTCCTTTTTATGATTTAATTGAAGACTTTTACGATTTTCGATTATCATATCAACGTAATGGATTTTTGAAATATAGCAATAGTTTTAGGGGAAGGCATGAAGTAGCTTGAAATATCTTTAAAACTTTGTAATGCACTCTTTCAATTTGCTGCCTTGAACATTGGACTAGAACAAAGCATATGAATTCTATGAAAGAATCACAAATTTGCTCACTCTTTCAATTCATTTCATTGTATGACAATTTAGAGCAATAATCTTGATAATTGTTATTCTCCACCAGTGAAGAATGAAACAGCTTCCAGTTACAACTAATATTCTTCTTTCGAGTTTTGTCTGGTATCAAATATATTTTCCCTGCACATATAATGAAATGTCAAGAATAACTTCTGTCTTGTCGTAATATTAAAAATGTTAATTCATATAAAAATATTTTTTGCAAGATAATCAGAAAATCTGATATCTTCGTTACTTTACTGTGGTAGGTCATATACAGGAGCCTCGTTTGATTATTCGAGGCCACTAGCAAATTCGCGTTGGATTTCTCATCTCTACAAACTTTTTGGTAACTGCTCATCAAGTCTAATTTGTGGCAATTGCATTTGCATTTACATATTACGTAAACTTATGGTATCTGGCAAAAAAACTGCAACAGCATGCTTGCTTGCTACATGAACTTGTTTAAAATTCCTGTGGTCACTTGAAGTCGTGATGACCTTGCAGCCTTGCTCACATTCGGACTTTCAGGTGTGTCATTACTCTCCCAATCAATATGCACTTTACGTTTATCACTCCCTCACCCAAATTGTTTTATTTTGAAATCTAATATAATACCTTTTGTCCTCGCTTTGTTTTTAATAAGTTGTTGTATGGGCTAGACCAAAAAGCCATAAGAATTTGTAATTCCTTGCTTCTGGTTCAATCAATTTGACTGATGCTACTATCGTCCTTTACTTTGGTTGAAGAAGATAATATAAGTATGTAAGGATAGTCATTTATTTGTATGTGGTTTCTCTACAGATTGAGCTGATGATATGGACAGCTGAGCTAATATTGCATAATGGAAATAAGGGAAGGTAATGTTTTCATCTTAGAGTGTTTTGTATGTGTTTTATTCTATATGCATTCAACCTACCAATTCAACCGCTTCTGATATTTGTGCCCAGTCAAAATCCGACTGAAAATCCTTTGAGAATGAAGCCGGGGCATGGAGTGATTTGAACGATCGATATCATTTAAAGCATCAAAGTTGTAATGCTACTTCACACTTCGTTTTATTTTCTTGTTCTTGGGAGCAGATTGAATATTGTTACTGTATTTAAGCCATAAAAATACTCTACTTTTTAATTTCTAATTTGATGACTATGCATCTAAGACGTCAGCTATGACATTTGTTTGATCGTATCTTGGGATATTGAAATTATGTTCTTACAGTAGGTCGTATGAGTGTACAATTGTATATCTATTGATAAAATGAGGTCAACAATATTGTCTTATGCATAAAGGAAACATTAGATCTTTCATTGTTAGTTAGAGGCCCTTCACTAGGTTAATCGTTGTTCATGTAGTGAATGTATTGTATTGCGTTCCCTCTCTTGATATCGACTTTCTTTCCTGCTTTCGTGGACTTTTTTTTAATGTATTATCGCTGGAAGGGCCTTTTAAAGTTGCAAATCCTAATCTCGTCTCTTTTATAGTGCCATGACTTGCCAATCCATTGAGGATTGAGAGATGGCTTGCAAATCCTAATCTCATCTCTTTTACAGTGCTGACATTGTTTCTATCTTTGGCTATGTCTAGGCTATGCATCACATTTGAAGAATGAAGATGAAGCTGATATCAGTCACAATTGCTTCTTTATTTACTGTGAGATTTGAAACTGGAAACTGGAGCTGAGAGGAATTTGATCGTCCGATGAAGCGACCATATGGTAATCCCATTTTATTTCCGCTTCCTAGTTCTTTCTGTTATCAAATTTTGAATAACTTTTGACATTTAAAAAAATAACTTTTGCAAGATGTCATAAAATTGGTTATTGTCATTACTTTTTCGTGGTAGGTCATATACAGGAGCCTCATTTGATTATTCGAGGCCATTAGCAATTCACATGGGATTTCTCTTCTCTACAAACTTTTTGGTAACTGCTCATCAAGGATAATATGTGGCTATTACATATACATATTACTTAAACTTATGGTATCTGGCAAAAAAACTGCAACAGCATGCTTGCTTGCTACATGAACTTCTTATGAACTTCAGGTGTGTCATACTCTCCCAATCAATATGCGCTTCATAATTATCATTTCCTCACCAAAATCGTTTTATTTTGAAATCTGGTATAATACCTTTGTCCATGCTTTGTTTGTGATAGGTTGTTGTATGGTTTCTCTACAGACTAAGCTGATGATATTGACAGCTGAGCTGATATTGCATAATGGAGATAAGAGAAGGTAACATTTTCATCCTAAAGTGTTTTATGTAATTTCTAAGTAATTAAATTCCTTCATTCAAGTTACATTTATTCTCTATGCATTCAACCTACGAATTCAACCACTTCTGATATACTGTCCTAGTCAAAATCCTACTGGAAATTGTTTGAGGATGAAGCCAGGGCATGGAGTGATTCGAAGGATATCATTTGAACCATCAAAGGGGCACATAGTCCCACTTTCCAGTTGTTTGGAACAGAGTGAATATTGTTATAATATATATGCCATAGAAATACTCTACTCTTAATTTCTCATTTGATGACTTCTGTTTCATCATATCTTGGGATATTGATATTATGTTCGTACAGTAGGTCCTATGAGTGTACCATTGTACATCTATTGATAAATCGAGGTCAACAGTTCTGTGTTAAGCATAATGGAAAGATATCTTTCATTGTTAATTAGAGGCCATTCACTAGGTTACTTTGTGTTCATATAGTGAATGTATTGTGTACCCTCTCATGATATCGAGTTTCTTTCCTTCTTTCTTGGACTTCTTTTCAAGCCGCAAATCCTTCTCATTCTCTTTTAAAGTGCCATGGCTTGCCAATCCATTGAGGATTGAGGAATGGTTTGCGGCATCTCAAACTCATTTCTCGAGTCAATTGGTTCCTCAGGATGATAAAAGTTGAATCGCCATTACTATCGCATTCATATTTTAAAAAATCAACCATTATTTTGGTAATCCCTTTTCAGATAACCTTGCGTATGATGACAGTGTGATAGAGCTAATAGTAGAGGAGTTTCTACTCTGGTACTATTCCATTTTTAAAGTTGACAGTGTTATTCATGTCATTAGGCTTGCTCTCATCTTTCTTTGCAGTTACAGACTTGAGGATATTGTTTTTTCAAGTACATTCTACGCAGCGAATTACTTCAAATCTAACCCTATCTTGGTAAATTTTTCGTTTTTGTCCTGTCTATGCCCGCATCTAGTTCCTTTTATATTGGTGATAGTGTATTATAAAGCAATGCCCTGCATACATAATGATTTCTATTTTCTCCTTGCAGAAAAATCACAAACCAATCAAAAAGTTTGACAGCTTCGATAATGACCTAAATCCACAAAACTTTTGTTCACGATCATCTACTTCAGGTTTGTTGCTCTACTCTTTTCAACAAAATTTATTGAAGAACTCTTCTTACATAAGTGATTTACATCACCATGTTCCAAATTTGTCTCATTTTGTAGCTATATAGTACTCCTACTACTGCTTACTGGCACTTTTGGCTTGGTAACCAATGAGCATGGACAGGTAAAGAACATTTCTAATGGAGTACCCATTATATAATCACATGCCTAGATGTCTAATACCACGTATATACGGATTGTAATTCTACAGATTCCAGTGCTTCTGATGTCTATTACTTTCGAAGTTACAGCTGAAGCTATAAATAATTTTGTTTCCAATGGTGTTGATACGAGAAGTGTGTTTCATGTCTCAATGCAAGTATGGAGGACCAGATATTTACCAAGTTTGAGGTTAGAATTATGAAGCTGTAAGACATCTTAGTGGCTGTTATCTTCTTTATTGACTGCGAAAATAATGTTTTCCAAGGCAAGAGTTGTCCGTGCTGATCGCCCAAGCAACATATAAGTTGGCTGAAGTACAAAATTACATGTGAAACTTGCTCTAGCTTTACCTGTGTAATGTTAAGGTTACTATAATCAGTTGACTTGATTGCAAATTTTTTACTATTGTAATCCTTAGAGAGTTGTAATTACCTCTGCTTAATTTTCAAGAGTGTTGAAAATTAGATATGGTGGAATAACATTTCTAAGCTAAGATTAAATAGATGAATTCATATTGATCTAT